AAAAAAGTATGTATCTTTATATACTAAGATTCGGTATGCAATTACTTTTTCTTTATAAGTTAAAAAAAAAATCTTATCAAACAATTTATAAAAAATATATTTTGAGGATTGAAATGAGAGAAAAAGATGATAAAATACAAAAAGAAAAAGATGAACAATAAAGTCTGATATAATAAGTTAAAACGGCTTAAAGTTGTTTTGAAAGCTATTATATAAAACTATTTCCAAAAACAAATTTTTAAAGATGAAAAAAAGAATATAAATGTTTATATTTATACACTAAAATGGAGTAAAAAAAAAGAAAAAGAAAATACAAATAGAGTAATAAAAGTGAAAACCACTTAAAGATAATATTTTGAATTTATTTAATTTTAAAAACTATTGTGTTGAGACTAAGCAAAAGAAATAAAAAATAGTATCACACATAATGAAGGAGACAAGAATAAAAGATTTTGCTTCATCTATGCAAACTTTCTCAGCATATACATAATAAACCTATCACCACATAAGGGACAACTATACTTAAACTATAAACTCCAAAATATACCATAGGCCTTCCATACAAATGTATTCAAATATAAAATGATGTCTTGTCTTCTTATAAGCTACTTTATCTTACATGTTTTACTAACATAACAAAATTTATATCTTTAGCCACCTTCACAAAACTAACCTCCTAGAAGTTTCATCAAAGTCATTGCAGTCTCAGTCTAAGGTCTTTGACACTTAGCCTTTGTTTTGTATTCTTTTTACCATGCAGCAGGTGTAGGAAGAACCTCCTTAGGCACATAAATCAAATTACCCTTTCTTCCTCCTCCACCTCTATAGTTTCTTCTTCCCCTATTCACATTATTCTCATTATTGTTACCATTATATGCATGAGGGGTTTTAGACCAAGCATTGTTTTCTCTCCTTCTGTAATGGCCATCACATGTTCCCCAATTGCCATATCCACCACCGTTTCTTCCTCTTCCCATTTTGTTCATGTCACCACCACCATAGTTTTCCCTATGATTCCACCCCCAAGAATCATTCTTCCAACCCTGCAATTCGACTTCTTTTGCAGGGTCGGCATGATCCTGTTGTCCAGATTCTACTTCAATGTTTTCATGCAGGTTTGTCCCCCAGCATGTGATAGCAGTAGTTGGAGCAGAAGGTTTTGGCTGTTCCTCTTCATCGTCCCCCCATCCAGTACATGGAAGCTTCTGATCATTTAAGTATAGAGCACCACCAATAATCACAACATCTTGATCATTTCTTACCACTCCCTTACAAGGGACTCTTAATGCTTCTCTTTCCAAATCCAGAATAAGTTCAGGGTCAACAATTGCATTCCAATCTACATTATCGATGTAAATGTCTGGATCAGGCAACGATACGGTGCAGGGAATGCCGTTGATGTCAGCCCAATACTTCCTTTTTGCATTTTCAAATGCTTCCTTGCCAGCAGAGTCATCCCAGTTCACCACATTATCAAACAGATGCATATATTGCTTGGTTTCTACAATCTTTCGCCATGGAACTGAGCCAATTGAAGAACAAAATTTCTTTTCCCAGGCAGGCATGTTTGAATGGTAATTGTCTGAACCAAGAAAATTAAGCAGATCAGTTGACAATAAAAGGAAACTCCTACCATCATGGCCAAATCACATAACAGATGGTGTTGCAGTCTAAACAAAATAAAAACACCAGGAAAGACAGTAAATAATATGTAAAATCTCATGCAAAAGAACTGTCTTACCCTTCATGCAGTTCAGATATGATACTAATACATTCTCAATTTCTTTTTTTGCAATTACCATGCTAGTACTTTAACACATTTTAAAGGAAAGCAAAAGTTGTGAGAAACCATTATACTCTCATCATGAAATATTCAATTAATAACTACTAACATTTGCCAAAATCAACAGTTTCAATTCAAACTTGAGATGATAGAGATTTTAACTAAACAAGGATCAATAACTACATTACTCTTTCAATAATTGAATTGTGTAGGTATTGCTTCAAACAGTCAAATATGTATCCAAAAGATTCCATTAATATATACTTTGACGGTTTCAATTTAGAACACAACATACAAAGTTATTAAAAAAATGGAGATTCAGTTATGTTTGCAGTACTTGGATTTCACTTAAATAATACCATGCATAATTGGATGGATGAGTCTAAAGATATTTTTTAGAAATTGCCAAAATCAAGACATTTTCAGTTTCAGAACATGACAGAAATCATAATTGCTACATTTGTAAAAGAGACTATCATAGGAATAGTTTAGACTAGGCTTCGACAATCTGATAATGTGACGTTTTATCATACAGCACACCAGTTTGGGCTCAAAGCACACAAAAATTATAACATACAGAACTTGCCTGGATCCACTACAAAAGTATAGTTAGTAATGCATGTTAAACCAGTCCATTTAAATAATTCAATGACATTGGAACCGATCAATCTATTGGCCATGCAAAGCATCAATACCAACAAACTACGACACAACAACCTACCAACCAAAGATATGACAGCACTTTATAACCTTAGAGGTCATCCCTTTGATAATTGAAGCTCATAGTTACTTTCAATGACAAGTAAATGAAACCTAAACCCTCCATCATAACCCTTAACTTCACCCTTTAGCACACAACACAAACCCAACATTGAATAATCAAGCTCTAAGCCTTCAAACACAAAAGAGGCAGGGTTTCACAGCGGCCCAATCAAATCACTCCTCTCTCAACTAAGTAAATTGAATATAAGTTTCACAATACATTTAACAAATGAAAACTCCAATACATACCTGTATCTAACTAAAGCTAGTTCCTAGAAACACACGACTAGGACAAAATTAGAACTCCATCACACAGCAAAGAAAGGCAAATGAGCCATGATTACTGAAAACCGACCATTTTCAAAAAAGGGAACCCCACTTTTCAAACCAAAACCCCAATTATAATCACTAGAAAGCAGCGTCATCATAAAACGTGCAACAATTGTAACCCAGTTTTCAAAACGGTATGAAAACGAAGAAAAAGGAAAAAAGAAAACACCAAAAGAGTAATCCATGCAACAAGAATTAAACGCGGGTTCAGAACCCAAACGAAGAAAAAGAAAAGTGTACTAACCCAAAGGAGGCTTTCTGCTGTTGGAATAGGATCGCAAGTGAGCCACTTGATGATGACTCTCACCTTGTTGTTTTCTCCAATTAGCCATTCCCAGACCCAAAAAGCGAAGGACCCAGAAGAGGAAATTGGAAAGCTTCGGTCGCAAGCAGGGCAGAGGCACAATATAAGAGAAAATTTCCAAACTTTGGCAAAAGGGAGAAGCGGGCACGGATTTCACGAATTACCTCAGCAGAGAGAGAAAGAGAGATAAAAGAGAGTTACCCGTATCTATATGTGTGTATGGAGACACCAGCACATGAGACGAAGAAAGCAACCAAGAAAAGGATGATTGATTGATGGCAGAAGAAAAGGTTGAAGAAGAAGAACATGAAATTAAGGATGTCTATAGAAGGAACATTAGAATGAAAGCAGGAATGAAAGAATGAATATGTGTAATTGTGAATGGACCCCAGACAGAGGAATAGCTCTGAGGTTTCTTGTCACGCCTTGGAAGCAATTCCTTTGAAGTGAGACCCTATCATATTCGCTTCTCTATTTATAGCACATGGTTTTCTTTCTCCTTTGTTTTGTTTCAGTTTCATGAATCATCTTCTTTCTTATTTTATTTATTTATTTATTTCTTTTATCACCTTTTCTCTATTAATTAATTATTAATGATCTCTCCACAAC